CCAATCCAAAAAAAAAAAAAAAAAAAAAATCCTTCTCGCCTCAACAGCTTGGTCTTCCTTTCTTCCTGCTGTTGTGTCACCAATCTCAGGAAACCATTTTATTCTCTGGAGGCGACATTTCGGAGACAGGAACGAGCTGGAGTGCCCAGCCTGGGTCACAAGGGGAAGAATTCCTCTCCCCGTGTCTCTATATTGGGCCCACGGGACCAGCCACGGGACACACGAGAGGCCCGGCACCACCCCAGGCCTGGGGTGCCAGCTCGTGTGGATGTGTTTGACTTAACGGCAGCAGACTCCGAGCTTCCTGCTGTCCAGAAGTTACCCTAGAGTAACCCTCAGAAGGGCAGGTTATGGGGACATGAGTCACCCATTGTAGTTTCTCCTTTTTTACATTTAAAGGCACAGGACACAGCGAAGGGTGCTAAGCCAGACATAAATTCCGGGAGACTCTGAATCACAGCCAAAAAGAAAAAAAAAAAAAAACACGCCCACACCCAGCGTAATCAGATTCACTTCACTTTTATTATGAACAAACACAATCTCAGATCAGTACAACTAGCTTCAGAATTGATATTAATAGAAATTATTCCCAAATTATTCTCAGGTCACAAATAACTACTATCCCACATAAAAAGGGAAAAGTCCCACCCATCAAAGAAAAGGTATCCTGTGTACATGTCCACGGCAACGAGGTTATGTGCTCTCAGCTTTTGTCTGGCTGGTGACCCACCCACCACGATCACTCATCCCGTCTCTCGGAGGACCACAGAGACCGAAAACAGCATCTGGGACGCACGGACAGATCGAGTGCACGTTGGACACGGCTATTATAAAAATACTCAGGACTTTCGAGTTTCTCTGCCCAAAGATCTCGAAATGCTTTACAGAAAGCATTAGTCACGCCTCAAAACTGCCCTTTGAGGTAGGTCAGTATTATTATCCCTATTTTAACAGAAGGAAAAACTGAGGCACATTATAGTTAAGTGACTTGCCCTGGGTCACGTAGCAAGTCAGTGGCACAGTGGTAGGAAGAAGCCCTGGCCTCAGCCACCCCGCAGAACGTGGGCACCTCGCTTTTTCATCCTCACACTGACCCACTCGAGCTACACTTACAGAGAAATACACTCAGGATACTAGCAAGCCAAGGAGGAAAAAAAAATCCCATTTTAAATGCTACAACCAGCTTTTAATCTAAAAAACAAAAAGTATAAATCAAATACATTCAGAATTACTTCCACCCTCCATCCAACGTGGGCACTTCATAAAAGCAGCCCTAAGAAGTTCCAGAATGAAGCCACAAGAGAATCCCGCCACGGCGATCCCAAGAACCCCCCAGCCACGGCCCTCCTCCTGCAGGCTCTCGGGTGCCCAGGGCTCACAGGCAGCTGACCGGAGAGCGGCCAGGCACCCAGATGAGCTGTCAGCAGATCACAAAGCCGGGGTTGTCGGGAAGCCAGCCTCTCTATCAATCTCTCCTTCACCTGACGCTTCCACTGAGCTTCAGCATCTTGGGAACAGTGCTCCTTACTTAGCAGACACACTCCCACCTACACACCCGGACGGCGGGGCCCTGGGCGTGGGTCAGATCCACGGAACACGATTACAAGAGCAAGAAGTGAAAGTTGGTTTTTATTGTTCATATATCATCAAGCAGGCAGCTGGTGACCCGTGGAAGTCAAAGTACCCAACAGACAATTCCAAGGGGTACGCACTCACAGGCCAGCAGATCTAAACTACAGGGGCCTTCCACATTCGATTTCTACGGGGGTGAACAGCTCAAAAGACAAGGATGTCTTGAGGCCAGGCTAACCCCTGTAGCCTACTCAATGAGCCCAGGAAGAAAGGCCCTCCTCCCCTGCAACTTGGGAGTGTACATTTCCAGTCCTAATAGAGCAAAGCGAGGCTTCCGCACCGACAACCGAACGACAGGGACAGGAGTGGTCCAAGGTTCTCAGGACATGATTTCTCCAGACCTTTCCTATACTGTTGTCTGCCCTGGAGGGCATGATGGCTAGTCTGAACAATCTCTGTTCTCAATCTCTGAACTCGGCCAAGTTCACAGCATCTCAGATCCCAAGTCTCGGCCAAAGCTTTGCAGCACACACCCTGACTCCAAGGAGCGGGACCTCCTTTCCAGGGGAGGCACTTGGGTTCTTGCCCTGGTTTCCTGAGCTTCCCGGGAGGCCGGGGCTCCCTCCGGCTTCCACAAGCATTGCACTGTCAGCCGGGAGCTTGGACTGGGGCGGGGGAGGGGGCCGGCCTTCTAAGCAAGCAGGGGGCATCCAGCCTGCGCTGACCCAGTCCCAGGGGGCTGGAAACAAGCCCCCTTTTGCTCTAAGCCAGCCAGCTGTCTGAGCATATGGCTTGGCGGTGGCCCATGAAGTCTCTCTGGGACAGGGGTGTTTCTGGGAGGGTTTGCCAGTCTTGTCTGAGGCCGTCAGGGTGGCCGGGGAGCACAGGGGTGTAGGTAGACACACTGTGGGGCCACAGGACGTGGCCACTAAGCCCTACTCTCTCAAGAGAAGCAGTGGTTTGGTGACCCTGAGCTTTGGAGAGGGCGTCGCTGCATTGAGGACACAGGGGCTGTGTCAGGGGACAGAGAGACCGGCAGGAGAAAAGAGGCAGGACAGAGCAGAGCCAGGAACCAAGGATCCAGGGTGAGGATTCCTGACCTCACCCCTAGGCAGGCCTGCCCTTGGGGACAGGTGTCAGCAGGGCTGGGTGTGGATGTGAGTGCAGGACAGGCCGCGGGGGGAGCCTTCCGCCCCCCTTCCAGTAGAGTGCCCCAGAGGACACCACGAAGGGACCTCGCATCGAGTTCGTCTTGTCTGATTCCCCAGAACCTACTCAGCGACCTTCTCAACTCCCTGGCCATGTGTTCCCGGGACCCTTCCCACGTAAGTCACCTCTGAGGAACTGTTCACAGACCCCGGCCCTCGCCCACCGTCCAGGAGTGGAGCAGACAGACAACCCAGGGAATCCCTCTCCGTCAGTTTCTTCCAATGCTCCTCCTCTGGATGGAAACCCTCCAGTCCTCTAAGTGAATGACTAATGCTCCAAGCCAAGGCTACGTGGAGACACACTTTGGTGGTTTAACCCAACTCTGCCTTCCTCGCGAATACAAGGGCCAGTCTCCAGCATCCTAACAGCAGCAGAGCAAGAAGGTGGAAGAATTCTGACAAGCAGCTCATGGAATCCTCGGAGTTCGATGAGCTGCTGAATTCAACAATTCCAGAAACACCCGACCTCAAGACTTCTCGATATTTGGACGAAGAGATGCTCCTTGTCATAAAAGAGAAAAAGAAAAATCCGTCCCCAGCAGAGACACAGGATCACTCCAAACTAAATGCTTCTTCTCTACCTCGGCCTAAACTCTGTCCAGACACCGAGACCATCCTGCCCAGCCCGGGGGCTGCGCAGTCAGGAGGAAAAGGAAGCATGTAGGGGGTGGTTCCCAGTCCTCCTGGGGCGGCGGTGTCCCCTGTGCCCCCCACCCTCGCCTGGGCCGCCCCCTTCCTCGTCAACCACACCCAATGGGCCGACTCTCTCCTCTGACAACACCTGCTTTCGAAGCTTTGTGACAAGTCAAGCTATTGTCCCATCCCTTCGAGCAGAAGCCTGGGCTGACGGTGACGAGCAGGGGGGCGGCCCAGAGGGTTTTTCTCTATCTTTAGCCCGAGCCACGCACCCTGAAGCCCACGGCAGCTCGAGGAAAGAGTTACCCGGGCCAAGGACCACTCGTGGTCGGCTCTGGCAAGGCTGTCGAGGCCCGGGAAGCTGGAGGCTGACCCAGGACTGCCCAGTCGCTTGCCTGGAAGGCCGAGAGGAGAAAGGAGGGTGACGGGAGCCAAGCAGAAGGAGGGACCGCGGGGCCGGAAGACAGAGAGGAGGAAGAAGAGAGCAGCTTAGCATCGTAAAGGCAGAGTTGTTGGCTTTCAATACTTCTGCATCTGAGAATACTGTGCTGGAAGGGGTTAACGTCGTCATCTTTAGCGTTCTGGGAGCGTTATTCAGTAGTTAATAAACAGAACATTACACCTCTGCCCCGATGGCTTTAGGAAGAGGAACCTGAGGGACCCGGGCTCAGCCACTCTTGTAGCTTCCGTCTCCAGTCCTCTTGATCCGGGCCAGGACAGCGGCCCGGGACACCTTCTTGCGGTCGTAGGCCAGGCCCAGGGCGGCCATGCAGTCGATGAAGAAGGTAGTGAAGTTGATGTGCCATCGGTACTCGCTGGCCGAGTAGTCATAGGGGAAGGAGTGGTGGTAGTTGTGGAAGCCCTCGCCTGGAACGAGAGCAAGGAGAGGCGTGACGGGGCTGCGGGGGGAGGGCACCCCCAACCCACGGGAGCTGACCGTCGCCACAACAGTGGGAGCGTCTTTTACCCCGAACCCCACAGACCCCCTCGGAGACCTCTTAAGAAACGAGGTGAGGCTGGGTGCGGTGGCTCACGCCTATCATCCCAGCACTTTGGGAGGCCGAGGCGACAGGATGGCCTGAGCCCGGGGGTTCGAGACCAGCCTGGGCAACTCGGCGAGACCTCATCTCTACAGTATGTCAGAAAAGTCAGCTGGATATGGTAGCATGGGCCTGTAGTTTCAGCTGCTTGGAAGGCTGAGGCGGGAGGATCGCCGGAGCCCAACAGGTCGAGGCAGCGGTGGCCGGGAGCGTGCCACTGCACTCCAGTCTGGGCGACAGAATGAAACTTCGACTCAAACAAAAGAAATGATTTGAGCTGGGCACGGTGGCTCACGCCTGTAGTCCCAACACTCTAAGAGGCCGAAGCAAGAGGACTGCTTGAGCCCAGGAGTTCGAGACCAGCCTGGGCAACGTAGCGAGACCTCGTCTCTACACAAACATAAAAAAATTTGGCCAGATGTGGTGGCACACGCCTCTAGTCCCAGCGGCTTGGGAGGCTGAGGTGGGCGGAAGGATCGCCTGAGCCCAGGAGGTGGAGGAGACTGTGGTGAGCCATGATCGTGCCACTGCACTCCAGCCCGGGTGACAGAGTGATACCCCAATTCAAAAAAAGGAAGTAGCGATTTGAGAGCCCCTGGCCACCCACGGCCGTGTGGGAGGAGACTGGCAGCTTCTCTCAGAGGCTACAATGACTAGAGAGAAACCCCAACGGCTGGAAATGGATTTTAGATTGGAAACTCCCGAAGCATCCGCCTTCGACCCTCAGGCTTCTTGTGTGTGTGTGTTCTCCTTTGGGCGGGGAGCAGGGAGATCAGCTTGGAGAGTTTTGGCTTCCGGAAAAGAGGAGGGGAGCATACCTCCCCTGACTCTAGGGGCGGGAGGTCCCTGCAAGACAGACCCAGCCTTGGGCCTGAATGTTCTCAGCCCCTGTGGGTGGAGTGGGGAGAGGGTGGCTGCCCTGACTCCTGGGTTTGAGCTTTGACCTGGGGTGGGGGAGGTGCTGATAAGCCCTGGGAGGCAGGCGTGCAAATGCTTAGCTAGCCCCTCCATCTCCCCAGGGCTCTTGGGATGAGCACCACACTTTGCTGGAGAGGAGAAGAAACCCAAATTCTGGATCCGGGACAACTTGGGCAATGAGTGACCCTCTGGACACGCTACAGATGGAGTCTGCCAGTCCTTGGCAGGGCTCTCCTGTCTGAACCGCGTCCAACCAGAACGCTGACCCCAATCAGGCCGGCGAGGAAGGGCTGCTGGGAGCCTGCCGCACCCTCTGCAGATAAAAATACCCCTGGCCGGAGCAGCCCTGGCATTAACAACAAGCCAGCGAAGGGGCCTGGCAAAGAGACGGCACCACCCGGGCAACTCCAGGCACAGCCCTGCCCTGGGTGACTCCTGACCCGAGGAGGAGGGCAGGCAGAAGACCAAGAGGACAGACGTCCACGCCTGGCGCTGCGGCGGGGCTTTGCGTCAGCACTCAGCCAGGCCTCGGGTTATCGGACTCGAAAGGAAACCGGACACACGTGAGGCCAGGGAGGGAGGAGAGGGAGGGCCGAGGAGGGAAAGAGGACAAGACTTCGCAACTGGGGCCGCGAGAGGGGCCCACGCGAGGCTCGCGGGGGAGGCCAGCGGGCAGAGACGGGCAGACACGGGCAGAGATGGGCGTGGAACGGGGAGGTAACCTCGGGAGCAGAAAGATGAGAGCGGTGGGAAACAGGCGGGGAGGACTAAGGGAGGTGACGAGGAAGCGGCAGGCGTGGGGAGGGAAGGACGCCCAGGACCGGTCACACACTGGCTGCCATCTTGAGCTGACGGCCACGGAGGGGGAGCTGGGAGACACTTGCTACAGGCCCATTTTGTGCCGATGGCCTCGGAGGGTGGGCTCGGGGACATTCACCACAGGCCCATCTGCAGTACAGGACGTATCCCATGGCAGAAAACCCCGTGTCCATGACAACCTCAGATTTACACAGCATCTGTGACTTATCTCGATCACGGGTCAAACTAAGAACACGCACAGTGGTAGAAGGTGACTAAGGCAGCAGGAGATGCAAGGCTGAAGAGACAGGGGAAATGCTGCACTTTTATTTATTGCTCAAGTCGGGGTCTCACTCTGTCCCCCAGGCCGGAGTGCAGGGGCACAGTCACGGCTCACTGCCGCCTCGACCTCCTGGGCTCAGGTGATCCTTCCACCTCAGCCTCCTGAGTACCTGGGACTATAAGCTCGCATCACCACATCTGGGTGATTTTTAAAAATTTTTTGTAGAGGCGAGGCCTCGCTATGTTGCCCAGGCTGGTCTCCAACCCCTGGGCTCAAGCGATCCGCCTGCTTCGGCCTCCCAAAGTGCTGGGATGACAGGCGTGAGCCACCACCGTGCCCGGCCTGGGAAAAATGCTTTTAATGAAGACAGCTATGACACTCACAGTGAGACTAGAAAGGAAGATTTCGAAGGGAGAAAATGAGTGTTGGGCAGTGATTTGTCCTGAAGCATAGAGCCCTGTGGCTCCCCGGGACCAGGGCATGGCCAAGAGCATGGAGAGGCCACCGTGTCCACTCAAGGAAACCAAATTCGAGGCCTTGGGCAAAGTCTGTGTTCAAATGGAAAGAGGCGATGGTGGAACCTTGTTGTCTCAGACCCTGCCGTTCGAGACTGCTACCCAGATCAACCCAGAAATAGTCGACGTGAACGGGAACCTGTGATGAAACTAACTGCTGTATCATGGGAGTCTCTAGGTCGTGCTGGGGGAGGGAAGGGATGTGGAAGAGAAAAAAGGACAAGAGGAGACGGGGTGGGAGGTGGCGGTGAAGGGTCTTTCACAAAGGCGCCACCAAGCAGGGAGGCACAGTACACATGGGCGCGTGGCACATCTGAGGACGCGGGGAGGTAAGACTATCTCCATTAAAAAGAAAAAAAAAAGACTCAGGGGGCTGGGTGTGGTGGCTCGCACCTGTAATCTCAGTGCTATGGGAGGATAGCTTGAGCCCAGGAGTTCGAGACCAGCCTGGGCAACATAGCGAGACTTTGTCTCTAGAAAAATTAGCCGGGTGTGGTGGCATGCACCCGTAGTCCCAGCTACTCAGGAGGCTGAGGTGGAAGGATCCCCTGAGCCCAGGCGGTCGGGGCTGGGGTGAGCTATGATCGTGCCACTGTACAAAGTGGTATAACTTTTTTTTTTTTTTTTGAGTCGGAGTCTCACTTCGTTGCCCAGGTCGGAGTGCAGTGGCATGCTCACGACCACCCCAGCGTCCACCTGCTGGGATCTGGCGACCCTTCTGCCTCAGTCCTCCAAGAGCGGGAACCACGGGTGCACACTACCACGCCCAGCTCCTTTTTTTGATTTCTTGTAGAGACGAGGTCTCGCCAAGTTGCCCGGGCTGGTCTCGAACCCTCAGTCTCAGGCGATCCACTCGCCTCGGCCTCCCAAAGTGCTGAGATGACGACAGGCTAAGCCACGGAGCCCAGCCCAAGCGGTCTAACTCCCAACCCTTTTCTTTTCACATAAAACGTGTTGCCCGACTCTCCTAAGAGCGCCCGGTCTAAGTTTATGGTGGAAAGTCGAAGTGGCCATAAAAACAGGTCGATCTGGTTTCTCTGGCTCCCAGCCCGACACCCCCATTGGCAGACCAGGACAGGCGGCCGGCGACTTACCCACGGCTCCCAGGGAGACCAGGATGTTCTCCCGGGGGCTGATGTTCTTGTCGTAAGGGCGGTACCCGTAGAGGTGGGCGGCGCTGTTCACCAGCCAGGTGGCGTTCAGCACGACGGCGTAGCGCAGGAACGTGCTCACGAACAGGCTGTGCACGAACGTCTCGCCCCAGCAGAGCCAGGGCACAAGCGTGGGCATGATAAAGCACATGAACAGCACGGCGGGTTTGTAGTACCTGCGGAGGGGATGCGGACGCCGGTCAGCGGCACATGCGAGGCCACCGACAAGTCCACTCTGCAGGGGGTTGTCTCGTCTCTGGCAGAAGACGGCAGGGGCGACACGGCTTTGCCAGGGCCACGGCGCCGGGAGCCAGGGTCGCAAGCACGCCCACCTGTCTACCAACTAACCAGCGCTCTTTCATTTTTTTTGAGTCGGAGTCTCACTCTGTTGCCCAGGCTGGAGTGCAGGGGCACGCTCACGGCCACTGCAGCCTCGACACGCTGGGCTCAGGCGATCCCTCCATCTCAGCCTTCCAAGTAGCTGTAGCTGTAACTACAGGCGTGTGCCACCACACTCGGCTAATTTTTCTTGACTTATTGTAGAGCCGAGAGCTTGCCGTATTGCCCAGGCTGGTCTCAAAGCCGTGGGCTCAGGCAGTCTTCTCACTTCGGCCTCCTAAAGTGCTGGGATGACAGGCGTGAGCCACTGCACCCAGCCAACCCGCAGTCTTTTCACCAGAGTGTGACGCCATGTTGGTGACACAGGCGAGGTCCTTGTGACAAGCAAATGGATGACGTCTCCGCCCCCGACTGCCCTTCCAACCTGCCTCGGGCCCCCACCTCACCAGCACCCTCTGCAGAGTCTGCGTTTGGAGTTCGGCCTCCGTTTTCTGCAGGCCACCCTCTGGCTGTCTCTCTTCTCTTCCCTCAGAGATGCCCACTGGGTGTCCTTGACCACCTGCAGGTGTCTGGCCCCCCGGAGACCCTCTCTCCATCTTTGTCAATGTAGACCAGGCTACTGGCATGCCAAGGGCATCGACGCCCTGCTCCTCTGCCAGCGGAGTCTTTGGCATTTACTTCGCTGGCCCTGACTCCTCTCCCCCGCTGCCACAGCCTCCCTGAGGGACCTGGTGGCTGGACGGGTGTCCTTGCCTCTTGGGCCACCTGTCCCGAGAGCGGCCCTTCTGAAGCACACCTGGAAGCCACCAGGTGCTCGGTGGGTGTGGTGGCATCCTACTGCCCGCTGAGTGGGGGTACGAGGCAGCACCAGCCTCTCTGGTCTTCCTCCCTCCCACACCTCACACCTCAAGCCAGAGGGCACGCCAGCACGCCGGCACATGCTTCTTGCTCGACCTCGTTCCGTGCTTTCTGTCTTCCCTGTCCCTCCCCACAATGCTTGCAACTCCCTCCCCTCGGCGGGTTCCGAGCCACCTCCCCGCCTCCAGACCTCTCGTGGGTCAGGAAATATTCTGCCTCGCGTCATGGGTATTTGGGTACTCGGCTCGTCCCTCTGCCCCCCGACGGGCAACAGGCTCCTTGATGGTGAGAACAAGGCCCCCTCGCCCTGGGGGTGCAGGACGGTCCGGGGTCGGGACATGGGCCGAATCTAACGGGCTTAATTAAGTCAGCTCGGAGGGAGACATGGACCCGTGGGATGTTTTCAACTACGATTTCGAACCCGAGACCCAGTCCGTGTCTCGGCGGATTCTCAGAGGGTCCCAGGGCAAGAGCGGGGTTCCCCGGGCGGCAGGCGCAGGGACGGTACCCCAGACCGCCGCGTACGCTCACCTCCTCTGGAACATCACCAGCTTCTCGGCCCTCAGGTCGGACAGGTCCAGCGTGCCGCCCTTCTCCTTCACGGCCGGGTGTTTGCGCACCAGCAGCCACCCCACGTGGGAGAAGAAAAAGCCGCGCCGGGAATTGTGGGGGTCCGCGTTCGTCTCTGAAAACTTGTGGTGGGCACGGTGGTCTCGGGCCCACTCGAAGACATCGTTCTGGAGGGAGAGAGGAGGGAGGGGCGTCTGACGAAACGCCCTCGGGGGACCACCGTGCTCAGCCCCACCTCACAAGACCCCTGGGAGTCCGGTCTGGCCTCCCCGCCTCTCCCAGCTCGCCACCGAAGCTGGAGTGCAGAAGCAACTTGAGTCCCAGGACCGCGTAAGTAGAACCACGGCATCTCAAAGGGTCCACGGTGAGCAGAAGGGCAGGTGAATTGGACACAGCTCAGCTGGGTTCGTTAGGTAAAAACAAGGCACTTTTTTTTTTCCAAGTCAGTGTCTCCCTCTGGCCCGGGCTGGAGTGCAGTGGCACAATCACCACTCACCACACTGTCAACCTCCTGGGCTCAGGGGATCCTTCCACCTCAGCCTCCCGAGTAGCTGGGTCTACAGGCGCACACCACCACGCCTGGCTAACATTTTGATTTCTGTAGAGACGAGGTCTCGCTATGTTGCCCAGACTGGTCTCAAACTCCTGGGCTCAAGCCACCGTCCCGCCTTGGTCTCCCAAAGTGCTGGGATTACTGGTTGAGAGCCATCGCACCCGGCTGGAACTTGGCAATTCATTAAGCGAGGGATATCGGAAAAGACCCTCACGGGGTGCCCAGTCCCTGGGTGTGGAGAATACGGGGCAGGCAGCCTCGTGCCCCAGGGTCCTGGTCCTGCAGGGGGTCCCTCCCGGAGCCTTGGCAGGGGACAGTGCCCTCGGCCCGTCCCAAGGCCAGGCATGCAAACCACAGTCAGCACATTTCCAAATGACCCTGGCTCCTGTAACTGCAACCCTTACAGAATGAATCAACACCTCACCTCCTTCCCTCTGCCCTGCGGGGTTACCATCAGAGGCCTCCATGGTCAAGCGGCCATGGCCCAGCCGATTATGCAAATGTGGCGAGGACTCGGGACACAGCCAAGACGCAGTTGGCTTCCTTGCTCCAAACAAGTCCCATGACACTTGCCATCCTCTGCCCACTGCCACAGCCTGCTGGCTGAGAGCCCTCTGTCCCCAGTGCCCTGCAATCTGTCTCCGTTGTCAACCTGGTGCCTCAACAAACCTCAGCACTTGACTTAGCCAGCACAGCAGCCCAAGGCAGGGCTGCCATGCTGGTCTGTTCTACCTAACAGCTCGGGGACTCGGCTTCCTCATCCTTAAAATGGGGCTCGGGGGCTCAGCCTGTAATCCCGCGCCTTTGGGAGGCTGAGGTGAGTGGATTGCCTGAGCCCATGGGTTCGGGACCCGCCTGGGCAACGAGACCTCATTTCTACAAAAAATCAAAAAATCAGCCGGGCGTGGTAGTGCAGGCCTGTAATTCCGGCTACTCGGAAGGCTGCGGCAGAAGGATTGCGGGAGCCCAGCGGGTCGAGGCTGCGGTGGCCAGGAGCAGCCACTGCACTCCAGTCTGGGCGACCGAGTGAGACTCCAACGAAAAAAAAAAAAAAGAGGATAATAATGGCCACAACTTCCAAAGACTGTAGCGAGGACTTCATGATGAGTCTATGCCCCTTGCTCAGACAGTGCTGGGCTCGTAGTGCTATGACGTCTGGTCTTTTCATCTAAAGACAGAGTCCACGAGTCCATAAAGCACCAACTCCAGTCCCACGGGTGGGGTCAAGACATTCACCCGAAATAGTGAATGTGGGGGCCACTGTCTGCCCAGGAGGTCGGGGCCAGTCTCCATCTCCCAGGGGGAGAACCATGGCAGCTGGACGGTGATGACACAGGGGCCTTGGCCGACACACCCACCCACCCAAGGGCTTCCTCCTTCTCCAGGAGGGAGCCTGCCCTGGCGGGGACCACGTCCGGGAGGGAACAGGGAGGGAAGCCGCTCTCAGGGCGGCTCCCCGGGGGCACCGGCCGGCCCCCTCCTTCCTGCCCCCGCATGGAGAGAGGCAGCGAGTACGCTCCTACCTGGAACGCCATGGTGTTGGCAATGATGAGGAAGACCCGCAGAGGTAGCCGAGCCTTGTAGGTCCGGTGGCTCCACAGGCGGTGGGCGCCCGCGGTGATGCCCAGGGCGCTAATGAAATAGTAGAAGAACCCTGCCGGAAAAAGGGGGGGTCACCGACCCGCGGGAGGCCCAGTGAGAAGGACCGCCCGACAGGCTTGTGGCTCGGAGCCGCTGCTCCACGTCCCAAGGACACTGGGGCGCTTAGATCTGACCACCTGGAGAACACCGTCACCTCCCAGCCCTCCCGCCTACAAAATGGGATAAGATGAGACCCAGGAATGGGAGAGCCGGAGAGGAGGAGAGAGGACAGGGCCTTCCCACTCAGCCACTGCCATTCCCAGGCTGGAGGCAGTTTCCCCGGTCCTGCCCTCTTAGACCTTCAGATAAGCTGCTCTAAGTTCTTTTTGTTAAGGCCGGGTCTCATTCTGTTGCCCAGGCTGGACTGCAGAGGCACGAGCACAGCTCAGTGTAGCCTCAATCTCCTGGGCTCAGATAACCCTCCCACCTCAGCCTCCTGAGTAGCTGGGGCTACAGGCATGCACCACCACACCCCAATTTTGTTCTGCGGGGGAAGGGAGTAGAGATGAGTTCTCACCATGTTGCCCAGGCGGGTCTCAAACTCTTGGCCTCGAGCAATCCTCCTACCTCAGCCTCCCAAAGTGCTGGGTTGACAGGTGTGAGCCACCGTCGCCAGCCTTCTCTAAAGTTTTAAGGGCTACAAACCACTCCCGCAAAGCTTAGGACCCATAATCAAGGGTATCATTAAAACCACTGTCAGCACAATCTGACCAATTCGAGGAGCCCTGATTGTAGGGGACACTCAGGGGACTCAGAACTACAACTGTTTATCAAAAGGTACAAAAGCATTTCAGTATCCTAGCAGGCCGTGTGGCACCTCAGGGAACAATCAGCCCTGCAGGTAAGTCATACGTGGACAGTGTCTTGAGCTTTGACAAGGGTTTTCATGTTGTCTAATTCACGGGATGCTTTGAACGGGGTAGTGGCCTTCAAGGCCTCGCTTTGCAGTTGAAGAAACACGCTCAGAGAGGTGAGGTGTTTATCTAACAAGTGATGGAGCCATGGTTTGCTGCTGGGTTTTCTGCCACCCAGGAGTTCACGTCCCAGCAGTAGCGTACCATCCACTTCCCCAAGAGACATGCATGGTCCCTTCTCTGCCAGACTCCCCACCCCCTGGCCCAGATTCTCACCAGCCAACGCTAATTCCAGATGCTGGTGGGCTCCGCTCAGTGCTGTGGGTGGGGTTCCCTGACACTGCCCTGCCTCACCTGCAGGCTGGGGAAGCGCCAGGTATCATCCCTAAGTGGGTGCGGGTTGCCCGGTGCCCCGGCCCTGCCTCTGTGCGGTGAGCTCTAGCAGGCGGGGGCTGTTGACAGTGTTTCATTCCCAGGGAAACATCTAGAAACAATGGGTCCTCAGTGGCCGCAGAACTCGGTTGCAGTTGGAGACACCACACATTGTAACACATTGTCCTGTGTTCTTCTGCAGCCATCCAGGGCGGCTTCCTAAGCAGCCACCTCCTGTCCCAATCCCCCTGCAGGGTCTCCTGGAGAGCCACAGAGTCAGACTCCATCGCAAGGAAAGTTCTGTCCACATTCCCTGGGAGCCAGAACGGAGGCCCCGGGTGGCTTGCTGATTGCAAGCATGGGGGGCTGGTATCTTCCCAGATATGGTATCTGGTTCCATTTTACCTGGAAAAGGTCAGTGGAGATAGGGCCCTCTCGTCACCCAGGGGGGGAAGAAAAATGGCTCTGGGACCCAGGACGCTTCTCCTGCTGCAAAGGACCCTGAGCAAGCTGGCTCAGACAGGAGGTGAAGACCCCACATTCACAGGGGACCTCCGACTGCTGCCTTCCAAGAAAGGGCTCCACATATATCAAGTGGAAGGGCTGGAGCAGGTTACTGACCTGTTGTCTTCCTCAGGGAGGGTTACACCCAGTTAAGCAACACCTCATAGCTTTGGCCGGAAGAGACAGGCCAGGGTTTGCCTTCCAGCCTTGGTGTTGCCAGACATACCTCCTTAGTCCTGCCCCGAGGCCTTTGCTTTTCCTGAAATTTTTTTGTGTTGGAGTCTCACGCTGTCGCCCAGGCTGGAGTGCAGTGGCACGCTCACAGCCCCCGCAGCCTCGACCTGCTGGGCTCAGGTGATCCTTCCGCCTCAGCCTTTCAAGGAGCTGGAACCATAGGTGCGCGCCACCGTGCCCTGCTAATTTTTTTAAATTACCGTTTATTGTAGAAGCGAGGTCTCATCAAGTTGCCCAGGCTGGTCTCGAACCCCTGGGCTCAGGCAATTCTCTCGCCTCAGCCTCCCGAAGTGCTGGGATGACAGGCGTGAGCCACCGCGCCCGGCTCCGAGGCCTCTCCTGAAGGCTCAGAGTCCTGAGCTGGAATCTCAACCAGTTGCTAATTTAACACTGTCCTTAGGGCTCAAAACAAGAAAAGTGAAGTGGGGCTTCTGAACTCCGAGATGGGAAAAGAGGCTGAGTGGAGACTGCCCGCCCGCTTCCTGCCCGTTTCCTGAGACAGACAGGCTCTGGCGCCCTCTCGTCAAGACTCTCCAGCTAAGCCCACCAACGGGCCCAGGGACAGAGTAAACCGAGTTACCAACCAGTCTCCGAGAGCCACATTCTTCTGTCCAAAGGCACAGCACACACCCACGGGCAGGGAACCAGGACGGCGGCGGGCACAGTCTTGGCTCCGGGCACCGGCAGCCAGGGTGACAAGCACAGGGAGTGTGGCCAAACTCCGGACTTAAGGAGACCCCAGGAGCACTGAGGCCAGAGCCTCCCCTCTCGGGGAGGGGGCAGTGGGAGCAGGGCCCGGTCCCCCTGGGGAGCCCTGTCTCTGCTCATGCCTCCTGGTCCTGCAAGGACTTCTGTTCTCTCAGCGGGGTGAGAGAACAGACATTCCCACCTCTCACGAATCCAAGAACCCTTCCTGGTCCGCAGACAGCGGCCTCCCGTTCCCAGCCTCCCCCACCTGCCCGTGGCCCAGCTGGGAGACACCTGTCATCCCAGGAAGGCTGCCTTCCTCCTCCTAGGGAAGCACAGACACCCCACCTGGAGGAAGGGCCTCCTCGATGGCCTTCTACGTGGCCCCGTGAAGAGCTCCAAATCAGAGCTCCGGGAGCCAGATCCCGCCATTCTGGAAGACTGAGTAGAAACGTGGCCGGCCGGCCCCTTTCTACACAACTGCCCCCCGAGAGGGAGCGGCCAACAGGCCCCCACATCCGCGACTGCTCTGGAAGACCCCGAGCTGCCTTGGGGGAGGGGGCCTGGGCTCACTGCCCCTCGGGGAGGGCGGCGTGAGGCCCCTGGGGCTGCAGGGCTCCCACTCTCCCTCCCGGCTGGTGGCAGAAGCGCTGAAACCCGGCCAAGCGCATGTGTGTATGGGGGAGGGGCTGCCACCAGCCCAGGCCCAGCGGCCCTGAAACAGCTGAGCTAAGAGCGGGTCGGGCCATGCCGGGAACCGGCTCCCATCACGGCAGCCTCAA